AACTCTATATACCTGAATTATGTCAGCTACAACATCTACTTGTCAGATCTAGCTAACCACAGAATGTTTAAACACAATTGCTGCTTTTAAAAGTAATTCCTCTCATGCTTTGGAGATGCAATGTCAGGGCAGGCTGCATAGGTCACTTCTCCTAAATGATAAGGTGAGATGTTACTTTATTGTACATCTGTTCCGGAGGTTAAGTTTAAAAACTAAACCAGAGAAAATCCTAATCTGTATTGCAAATATCAACTCAATTGTGAGCAAATATATGTTTGGATTTTCCTGTCAAAAGGATACACTCAAGTGTATCATGAGTCCTTATTTATTTCTGAGGAGTGCTAGAGCTAAGACAGCTGTCTGACAGGTAAAATTTGCTGGAGAAAATGCATCCATATCGCAATTCTGATTGCAGGAAAGGCTGTTGTCAGTCAAAACAATAGTGAAGCTCAGTTAGAGAATGTAATGTTATTGTTTTGGAGTAAAAATGCACTGGGTTCAGCACAGTCCTGAACTACAGTTTGTTATCCAATAAAGCATGTGAGTCAGTTGTTGGGAGATAAGCAATAAAGCCCAGAGATGAGCAACAAAAATGACTGAAGATCCAGAAAAAAAAGGCCAAGGGGAACGTTTTAAAAATAAGTGTTTATTCTGAGTACAGAAAATAGGAACAGTCCCTTCACACATATAAAAGGATGTTAATGGAAGAGAACAGTAATCAGGCCATTTTTATACTGAGTGATGCAAAGACAAACAGTTAGCTGCTTAATCTGCAGGAAGGAAGGTTTAGGTCAAAAATATTTCTAATTGTTACTTGTTGTTTGGCTATAAAGGAGTGTAAAGACCTGAACGGATTACGGAGGATGGATGTTGGATCTCTAGTTTTGGGTCAAGCCCGCAGCTGTCACGAGTGGTCTAAGTTTACTTGATTATATCTCAGAGCAAAGGGCAATGGACCCCCTTGAAGTCACTTTTAGTCCCACATTTATGTGATTTAGTGATTATTTGCTGACTCTACTCTCATTAAAACAAAGATATTTAAACTATTATTTATAGCATTTATTTTATCCTTTTATGCATTCTTAGCAGGCTTGAATTATTCTTTAATTATTAAATGACAGGCAATGTCTAACCCTCTGTAAAGATCACACATGGAAGAAAATTTTTGGTCCAAAACCATGTCAGCTTGAGGGACATGTGAGTACCCATGATTTGCTTGAAAAATTCTGTAACGAAATGCATGTCACTCTTGAAAACCGAAACAGACTTTGCAAGACCAACTTTTACATTCTAAAACTGCTTTCCAGCAGAACAGTCCTTACATTCCAAAGTAAATCGTAAACCACTGAGTGTCTCGAATGCTTTACAGCATTTGCACATTTTAACACTGGAACTGCATTCTTCAGTACTTCTGAAGCAAGACACTGAAGCAAGTATCTGTCAAGTCGTGACGCTCTTTAAAAAACAGACAGACAGTCAAACATTATTTCCCAGTATAATTTAATGTATGTTCAATTACACCAACATGAATAGATTCTCATAATAGTTTGATTTCACCTGATGGAAGCACATTACACTCTTTTAACTCACGGATTGAAATTATTATTATTATTATGTCGTGCAAAGCATCAACAATGCATTAAGTGCTTTACATTGATGCTTAAAAAACTAACCACGTGCCCCGAAGAACTTAATAAGGAGTACGCAATGCAAACATCATACCAGGAAGGAACATGAAAAACAGAATGAAAGAGAAACGAAGCACAGATACATCTTCTTAGTTCCAAAATTTTTCAGCGGAGATGGTTAGTAATAATGAATGCCATGGACGTATTTCCCTGAAGGTCAAGTGATTCAAATTAATAATTTTTATTTGTGATGTAAATAAGCAGGCAACCTTCATTTAATTAAATGATTTGATCTTGGCTGGCCTTTGTACCATTTAGTTTTTCTTCAGAAAAACGGATTTTCAACAGTTGATATGAAATGGCTGTCTACAGACTGTTAAGCCAAGTGTTCTATACATTTTTCATTCTCAGTTGTTCAGTTTCATTATGTTAAAGTGATAGGCGATGTTTTTCTCATCTGCTTGGCTATTATCAATTCTTAACCGATGTTTGAGGTCAAAATGTATTGTGATAGAATCCAAGAAAAATGTTCCTACACAGTATTTGGAAATGGAGAGTCCCTTTTTTGTTGTTTCTGCAGAGCCAAGTTCTGTGAATATTGTAGAGAAATCACAAATGATGATTTCAATAGCAAATTGAGATTTCAAAACACTGTCTTTCCTAAGCACCTTGAAATTCAATCTAATTCTTATTAAAGTCAACAGACACTTTTTTCCTTCTGAGGTACTTGCCTTGGACAATATTTCTTAATGAGCAATAAAATGCTACAGATGAAAGAAACCTTCCATCACACATCAATTTATTCTGTAGGTCCTAATGTTTTTTGTTTCCCTGACAATATACTTTACCAATGAAACTCCTGTTATTTGTGGAAGGCGCTTTCCCGAAGGTACATGAGACTGAACTAACTGCTAGGGGCTAACTTCTGGTTTTGGCTACTCTCTGTAGTCTGTTCTACTGACATAACCAGAGCCTCACCCAAACAAAAACAGAGGAGCAGCTGGGGAGTATCTGTTTTGCAGGGAAAAGGCAGGTGATGGTGGAAAAAACCTGCTTATAGGAGCAGGTGAATCAAGACACACAGTACATGATTTTGATGTACTTTACCCACTTTATGTTTTGTACCGTGCGTGAGTTAATTTTGCATTCACATTCCAGCGCAGATCACGCAGGGTGACAGTGATTTTTTTTTATTGCAAATAGATTCATCAATAAGTCGATATTTAAAATGTCCTCTGAATTCTATAACGGAAAGCGGGCATTTTAATCTTCAGTAATAATGATCCCTGGAAGAATGTATGTTACTAAAGTGCCACCTACTGTATTGACAAAAACATCCTATCATGGCAAGAATGAATCTTTCCAGGCAGTCTGGGCAGCAGCTGTATTCCCTTGCTTTTTCCAAGCTCTTATTTTTATTTACTTTGTTCTAAAGATCTGTGCTGACAAAGTGACCAAAGAAGATTTGTTTCCATCTATCGTAGAGCCGTCTAAGACTCTGACATCTCTTTTAAGCTTAGATTGATCATTTAGTACCTTGAAGGTATGTCATTTTGAGAAAAATGTTTCTTAGTAGACTATGCTGCCTGCCTGAAGAATCACCTCTTAAAATAGGCTGTGTACCCCCCCCCCAAAAAAAAAAAAAAAGCCCTAAGTGTTTTTAGCCTGTTTCATCTTCATAAATACAGGAACTGATGAGAACAATCGACACCTCATCCCCAGAGTACAGTGCTGCCAGGGAACTGCTCCGGAAGCGCAACAGGGCCTATTGCTATTTTACTAGTAGTTATGATCAGAAAGTTGGGTAGCCGGCCCCCCAGCCGCTCTTTCCTTTTTATCTGGTATTTTCTCCCTTTGTTCTTCAAAGTTTGGAGTACAGAAAAGCAAGAAGAGTTTTCACAAACCTACTTTGAAATTCCAGCACAGACCTTCACCTGGGACCTCCTCTGGCTAGAATAAAATGCAGGATTAGTCCTTTCTGATTATTTTGGCAATTTCATAACTAGGAATTTGTACAGAGTCTGCTGTGGCAGACTAACCCAGATGTCCCATTCAGAACACATTCTTCCAGGGCATTCATACTATTTCCTATTTTTAGAAATAAATTGCAATAACACCGTCATCTTGCCTCGTGAATTGGGGAGTTAAAAGTGATAAAAAACAGCCTCATAACCAGATTCCAGAGGATTTTTCCACAAGATGTAGTTACAGCGTGTGAGGGAAAGGGAATAAAAACAGCAAGGGAAGTAAAATTTGCTATAAATAACCACGCTGTGTGTGCTTAATAAGGTAATTCTGGTCAACCTAGGGGTAGCAGATCTTGCCAGATTATTACTACTCCAAAAAGAAAAATGAAAGGGGATAGAGGAGGTCTGAAAGAGCAGGATCGATGTAAACAAGAAAGGAAAGGACTGGAGGAATCAAAAGGAACATGGCACATGGTTATACCCTCTGTTGAGCCTGCACAGCCTTCAATTGGAAAAGAACATCCTATCCTTGTCACTGCCACCCACAGATCTGTGTGATTCCCTCTGGGAACATTTGTGTTTCTGTATCTCATTTCCCCCCTACCAGCTGCTACTTTGCCTGTCCCAGTTCATTCAAACAGCGGAGGAGAGGCGTATAAAATCAACGAGTGACCAAACGTTGCTCCGGAGCATCCCGAACAATTTTGTCTTCACTCACGGTCCTTACGTTTTTGGGATCAAAAAGAAGATTTTGTTTCAGGGGATTCTTTTTTCTTGTTGTTTCTTCATTTTTCCCTCTGCACCGGTTCTGGTGCACCAGGACTTAGAGAGCGTGGGCTGGGAGGACCTTGCGAAGGTCCACCTCTTCCCGCTCTGAAGCGCAGTGGTCCTCGACTGCCGCTGACACGCGCCTGCCTCACCCACCCTGGAGAGTGTCAGGGTGAAGGTTGCGCGCTCTCCTAAATACCTTCCAGACTTAACTATGTACAGTTGGAATTTGTTTCCCAAAATTTAAACAAAAGCTCCCTGTTTCAGTTTAATCCTGTTATTTCCTGCCCTGGCTCAGAGGAATCAGCAATAAAGGCATCTCTCTCTTCCTCTTTGCAGCAGTATTTTATAGATTTGAAGACAGGCATCATGTCTCTCCTCAGATCTTCTCTTCCCTACGTAAACAGTTCCTTTATTTTTCCCTCGTAGGTCACATTTTCTAATCATTTTTGCTTTCTTCTGGACTTTTGGTCAACACTTCCCTTGAAATACTGTGCCCAAAGCTGGACAGCGTGGGTCATCTGCGGCCTTGCAGGCGCTCCCTGTGGCAAAGCTGTGCCAAAACGTACCTGTGTGCGGTACGAGTGCTCACCTGGGATGCAGCCTTGTTTGCACGGGAGCGGGCTCGGTGCTGGAGATGTCGTGTCCTCCTCTTTCCTTTTCGCACGGGGAGAGCAGCAGCCAGGGAGTCGGGGCTGGGCAGTCGCTTTGTCGCGTCTCCGCGGCGGGCGACAGAGTTGTCCTTGCTCGCCACGGGCAGAGGCTGTTGCGTTTGTCCTGCTTGGCGGACGCGCCGCGTTATGCTGCTTGTCTCCGTCACCAGTGGCTGATGCCGTTCGGTGTTTTGCCAGACGCCTCTT